CCTATTTTAATTTGACACGAGGGCCTCATTTCCGTTTTAATAAGCGCACTTTTTCCTTCTGATAAGTGCCCGTATCCTTTTGTAATAGCCTAAGAAGCCCTTCCCTTTCTAACAAGTCAGATAAGTGCCCCTTTAACTTTTTATATGAACCCCTTCCCCTTTTCAAAATGCTCCTATTTACATCTGATAATGCTCCTATCAAAACATGAGAGTTGCCCTTTACCTTCCATTCAAACAAGACAGTGTCCTTTTCCGCTTGGACGTTGCAGCTGCCGCGCGTACCTGCTAGTCTTGATTATCAAGATTATCAAAGATATAGAATTTTGTTGAACGACTTCAATAGTACATTTTCTGAAATTTACCCCAACAAAAATCTCATCATTATAAGGCAATTCGGCCCTTCACCTGCATACAATCTATTTTGAAACTAATTATTGACCCTCTCAGCTTTGTGGTACTGGTCGATCATTATAAACCAATAAATACATTTTTTTTTTTAAAGTTTGTCTGCACAGCATAAAATGACTCCCCCCCCCCCCCCCAAAAAAAAATCAAATAAAAATCCACAAAAGTTATGATGACCATGTACCAATGAAATATGTAGTATATGAACATAATAATGAAGGCATTTGACCTTGATGATCACACCCTCCTTGTTGGGTAGATCATTAGCATATGAGTTCGTATAGGTCCATCTTTTCATATAGATTTTAGACTTTCTCCGCAACTGGCAACAGTGTGTCAGGTATTATGTTCTCTCAGATAATACAGGATGCATGGTTCCTCAGGGTAAAAAACTTGACCCAATCGATTTTTAATTTTAAGCAGCACTTAATTCTGGACTGGAAATATGTTGATGATTTGAGTTTTGCAGACATTTTATAATGGTAATGCATGAAACAAGAACACTGTAAAATGACCTCAATATCATCAAATGGGTTGTGGACAACCAATTAAAAAATTAAACCCTACAAAGCCTACCCGAGCACTCCAATGTGATATCAGAATGACCATCCCTCCGTGATTGGAACTTGCTGAATCACTTACATAACTACTGTTGGTCTGTGGCTCTAAAACAACCACTGACCAAGATGTTCATGCAGGTCAGTGGACAGTATGGAAGCTAATTCCCGGTTGTTTATGCCGTTGAAACTTTCACCACAGAGTCAGGAACTGCGGCTCGGTACATCTACCCAGGGGCGTTGCAAGCCCGGCCCCCCCCCCACTCGGTGTTATTTAGGGTACGCATATATATGCGTGTTCCAACCGACCCCCCCCCCCCTTTTCAGCAAAAGTCCGGTGTGTAAAGTCAATACGGCTCGACCTTTTTCTTTTGTATACGAGCCTTTTTCAGCACCCCCCCCCCCCTCCCTTTTCAGCAAAAGTCCGGTGTGTACTAGTCAATCGGGTCGACCTTTTTCTTTTGTTACGAAAAGGACATTTTGGCAACACGCATGGGGTCCGTCCGTTCTCGGAATTGGGGGGGGGGGGCCGGGGTTGCAAGAAAGTTGAGTTGCAATCGATTGCAAATATCAGTTGCAAATTTTGCAACTTGCAATCACAATTGCAACTTTCTTGCAACGCCCCATAAGTGCGAACCCCACCACCCCCGGGTCTACCGAGGTCCGAGTGAAGAGATCATTGAACAGGTCGACTCCCTATACCCTCAAGGACCCCTTCCCCCTTTGACTTCTCTTCTCTTCTCTTCTCTTTATTAATTATTTTCGGGGGGGGGGGGGGCTCATGGACACTTAAGCCCCCCCCCCCCCGGTAGTAAGCCTAGTGCTGTAATGGATGGTCAACATTTGAGGAGGCAGATTGACTTGGCCAGGAGGTGATATGCCCTTGGCCTTGCCTTTTTAGAGTCGGTAATTATTATTTTGTATTTTAAAGTGAAACGGACACATACATTATGCTCTGATAGTCTCTTTTCCAGTATGTCTTAGTACATTCACTCCTATAATTATATTCATTTCTTTTCTTCTCTGATGTCAGCTATATCAAGGACGAACATCGACAACAGATCATGACTTATTCTTTGAAGAAAGTTTTCGAGCAAATTACATCTTCTTAATAATATTATACGTACTTTTCCCTTTTCTGCATCTCGTCCCCTCTCTCACACACCTCATTTTTGTGTTGCCATTCGATGGGGGGGGGGGGGAGGGGGTGAGCCCCCTGTAGCCACGCCACTGCTGCACACGCCCATTTATACATAGTTTATTGATGAACAACATACATGCTGATGCATGATTAAAATGGTTCTCATTAAATAAATAAAAATTTGACATGTCTAATGCATCCTTAAAGGTAAAGACCAGTTATGGTCATGCGATTGCATTGTGAAAGAAACGTTGTGGAATCGATCAGAAAAGGTTGATCATCTAGCATCTAGCATCTGCAAGGTTCTGGAATCATCAAAATGATAAGAAATTTGGCCCATTCTTCGTAAAATTACAAGCACTATACACAAAAAGATGTATATGGGACTACCCTATATCTCTCACAGACCATGAGAGAAACAAATTTACCAAATATATGAATTAGTAGGCGGTTTCCCGGCAATTTTTTTTATCATCGTGTATTAGTCAAAACATATTCTTTCACATGATTGGTAATGAGAGCTTCCATTTCATTTTTTGAAATTGGGGCGTTTCCAATACTGGTCTTTACCTTTAACTTATGAAACTAGGCTCTTGATGACGCTATCGTGTAAGGCTATAAAAACTAAGGAGCAATGTGTTTCAATGTGATATTTTGAATTTAGTTTTTAAGCCGAGTCGCTTTTATATTTTCTGCATATTTGAATTGAAAAAAAAAAACGGGAAGTGGAATAAAATTAAAGATGACTGTGTGAGATGCCCGGGTCCAGGCGCGGATCCAGGGGGGGGGGGGGCCGAGCGGGCCTTGGCCCCCCCCCCCCCCCGCAAAAAAAAAAAAAAAAAAAGAGAGAAGAAAGGAAAAGAAGGGAAAGGGAAAGAGGAGAGAAAGGGAAAGAAAGAAGAGGAAGAAGAAAAGAAAAGGGGGAAGAAGGAGATCGGGGGGCCGAAAGGGCCTTGCCCCCCCCCCCAATAAAAAAAAATAATAGAAAATGAAGGAAAGGGAAAGAAAAAAGGAAAAGAGGAGATACTGGGGGGGGGGCTTGGGGAAAATCAAATTCAAACGTGGTTTATTTCTAATTTCACAAAGGTGGATTACAAATAATGCTGAAATGACATAATTTCCGAGATTTTTCCTCATTTTTTGTAAATTATACGTTTTTATGTGTTTGTTGGAAATGACAAATTCCTAAATTTACAGCCAGGCAGGAAATATGATTTTTGAGATTCCTACATGTCAGGGCCTGAGGAACGGCGGGGATCGGGAGCCTCGAGCTCCCCCCCCCCCCACTTTTTTTGAAAAAGTATATAAAAGAGAAATAAAATAGAATGAGAGCAAGAAAGAAAGAATAGTTAACTCCCAGTGTTAAAAAATAATGAGGCATCAAAATTATGCTCATCTGACCGTGATTAAAAGCCTAAAACCCTTAAACTTCCGGGGGCTCTGCCCCCTGAATTCCACCTAGGGCCTTACGGCGGGCCCTTAGATGCTCATCTGACGGTAATTTAATGCCTAAAACCCCTGATTTCGGGGGGGGGGGAAGCTCCGCCCCTTGGACCCCACGCCAAATAGTGACCTGCCAGTGTCACAAAATAATAAGGTATAAAAAAAAATGCTCATCTGACCTCAATTAAACGCCTAAAACTCCTGAGCTTGCGGGGTCGGACAAGGTATCAAAATGTGTTTATCTGCCACTATGACCCTCGCACTGACCCTCGCGCGAAGCCAGGGAGGGGGGGGGGGGGGGAGGCGGTCCCCCCAAATCGGAAGAGGACGTAGGAAGAAAAAGGAGCAGACAAAGAACATCTTAACAGTATAGAACACGGTACAAATTACGTCTATGGTACAACGCATCGTCTTCTTTCTCTAATAATTTAATGAAACGTCAAAGCTTCGCGTAGGAGGGGAGGGGTGGGGGACTGAATTCAGACAAGGATTAAGAATCGAGAACGGTACAACGAATCATCTTCTTTCTCTCATCATCTTATGAAACGTCAAAGCTTCCGCGCTTCGCGCGGGAGGGGTGAACCTGAATTCAGACAAGTATTCAAGAGGCGAGAACGGTAATACGAATTTTTAATGATTTAATGAAACGTAAAAGCTTCCGCGATTCGCGCGGGATGGAGGGGAAACTAAATTCCGACGAGGAATATTTTCGAGAACGCTACAGCGATTCGTCTTCTTTCTCTCATATTCTTATGAAACGTCAAAGCTTCCGCGCTTCGCGCGGGAGGGGGGGGGGAACCTGAATTCAGACGAGGATTCAGAGGCGAAAACTGTACCACGAATCATCTTGTTTCTCTAATGATTTAATGAAACGTAAAAGCTTTCGCGCTTCGCGCGGGAGGGGGGGGGGGGGGAGAATCAAAATTCAGACGAGGATTATTTTCGAAAACGGTTCAACGAATCGTCTACTTTCTCTAATGATTTAAGGAAACTTAAAAGCTTCCGCGTTTCGCGGAGGAGGGAAGGGGAAACTCGCCCCTCCCTGCACCGACCCCCCCCCCCCGAATTATCTGTCACTGTTGGTCACCATTACGTACCAATATTTGGCTCGCATAATTTCAAATTTGGCCCCCCCCCCCCCCCCCCCCCCCCTAAGAAATCCTGGATCCGCGCCTGCCCGTTGTCAGTGATAAGATCGAGAGCCACCCCCGTTTCCATCCATCCCACTCGCCTAGGGGTGCTCGGGGTGCTTTATTGATAACCCTTTATTATTGTGACATTATGGTGAAGGAAATTCCCTTCTTATTAGAAGTACCGGTAAAAATTAATGTTAAAATCGATATTGGTCCTAAAAATAATGTACTTTGCAAAGTTTGATCCATCTCAGGCGCTCGGCTTGCAGCGCCGTATCAAATTCATTTCGTACGCTATATACGTGGACGTTGCGCGCGCGCGGTACGGAACAACACGGAACACGTGAAAGTACATCGGATGATAATATCGTACATGGTGGCTTGAAGAATGTTGTCATTTGTGTCACGGATTGACAAAGAGCAAGACGATAATTTGGCTTCATATGGAAGAAGCTCATCTTCTTTTGACTGTGAATTCGCAAATCAACGCATACTACTACTAGATCTACTGATACTTCGTAAAATTAGATCGACACTGGAACTGTCATAGATCTACAGCATCATTAAACTTGAAGCCCTCGCCATCATCAGTTCACCGACCAGCGCCGGAGCAGCCGGGTTACAACTTCTCAAAATCGCGCCTAACTTCTCATCTCGATCTCCCGCAGTGTGAGCTTGCGCTTGTACGTCTTGCCAAGATTGTTCCTCTTCCTCAAAGAAAATTGCACAGGCATAGACCTATAGACTGCGAAAATATGGAAGGGGTCAATTTGAAGCCTGAAAGTTTGCAAGAACTTATTGAAACCCTTCACATCCTTTTTGCCACAGACAAAGTTAACATTGAAGATGTTCAAGCTGCAATGGAAAATTATGAAAGTAATGAAGATGACTGGGAAAAGTATGCAGTATTCGAACATTACAGGTAGGAATTGACTTGATCATTTAAAGTTATTACTTACACTTCTTCTTCTTCGTATCCTTCTTCTTAAATAAACTATTAGGAGACCAAAAGCTTCAGTCTCTGATATCGACTTTCCCGCTGAGATTACATCTGGCTCTTCTGACCGCCTCTATCAATAGACTGAAGTACGTTGTATGTGGAAGTGTGAGGAAGGAATGGCTCAGTTCGGCCAGACCTAGATGAATGAGATATGCAACAAGTTTTTTTTTTCACTCTTTACGTCTTCATTACAGATCCCTCTGTTCATCTTCCTCCATGCAACTAATTCTTGGACCACGAACAAAAACATGTTATGGTGACTGTTATGGTGACAATTTCGTCCCTTTAGACTCAATTTCAACCTTTAGACTCAATTTCAACCGCGACAACAATCCTTGAATATCGTAGGATCACTTAAAATATGCTTCCAATATGTTCATTTGAACCAAATTCATGACCCCATTCCAAAACTTTGTGTTACTTTAAGTCGTTAACATTCTGCCCAACTCGAGTCAAACTTCCATAACATCCTAAAATACCCTAAAATACCCTAAAATACCCTAAAATACCCTAAAATGACTAAAAAAGATACTAAAATGTTCAAATATAGGTCTACCTTCTTGATGCAGAATAACTACTCCTAGGACAAAATCGAAGCTTGTTTGGTCGAATATTAGGTGTTTTTTCAGGACAATGCAATCCTTTTTCCAACCTAAGTTGTATTAAGTCTTTGCGGCTGAGTAGTGGAGGTATCGCGATACAGACCGATAGTAATGAGTGGATAAAGACTTTATTTCCAAGCTATTTTTTCTCTTTTTGTGACTTTAGGGGTTTAGATTGAAATACATTTATAATTGTTTATTAGGTTTTCCTTTATGGTTCAATATTTTTAAATCATTATTTTGCACAGTTTACTCTGACAGAAATGTAGAATATAATCAATAAACCACACCTGTCATTCCTCCGTGATGATGGACTCTCTTTTGATTAACATGTACACTACATGTACATGTGTATATGCCTCATATTCATTATCATTTCAAGACAGTGTGCAAACACTGTATATTCAATGTACATACCTAATGTGATGATTTTTGGGGGGTAGTTTACCATAGTTGTATTATGATTTCCAGATTTTGGTTTTTGGTTTTTTGAAGGGCTTCCAATTTTTAGAGCTGAAGTGCTCTCTGCTCCATTGTATTCCTTTACTGCTAGTGCTAGAGTAGAAGGTTCATGAATCCTTCAGCTTTGTTCTTCTGATTTTTTTTCATTTGATATGTGTTCATTAAGTTGTGTTTGTTTCAGTACTATTATTATCTGCAATCAAATAAGCATGCTGGTTGTCACTACTATCCTTTCCTTGGAGAACTTTAAACTATGTTTTAATTATATGTATCCCTCTTTTTGCATTCGATAATGTCAATAGTATTTTGATGGAAGAAGTAGAAAATGGCTCAATGTATATGACTCCTGAAGAATTTTTGAATCAAGATTTAACCAAAAGCAATGCTTTTTCATTGTTACATATAAATTGCAGAAGCCTGCCTAAACATTATGATGACATAACATCTGTACTCTCAACTCTAGAACACTCTTTTGGTCTTGTAGCATTTAGTGAAACATGGTTAGATACTAAGGTAAGAAAGGAGTTTTATATTGAAGGCTATAATGTGGAGAGTAAATCCCGTAACGACAGGAGAGGAGGAGGAGTTGCATTTGCAATTAGGCATGACATAAGGTACATTGTACGCAATGACATTTCGGTCTTTAACCCTCTTTGTGAGAGTCTTTTTATAGAAGTTTTTAAGCCAGGTAAAAATGTTATTGTTGGCGTTTTTTATAGACCTCCAGATCAATCACAGGCTAATTTCATTGATATCATTAGGAACATCTTGTGCAAAGTGTACATAGAGAAAAAGGAGTGTATATTTCTTGGAGATTTTAATTTTGACTTGATGAAACTAGATGTGCAAAACCTGTGTAATGAGTTGGTGGAACTTTTTTATTCGTTTTGTTTTGCTCCTCTAATTACAAAGCCAACAAGAATAACAGATTCCACAGCAACCTTGATAGACAATATATTTACAAATAGTATCTGCAATATTTTTTCTGGTATATTGACCTCTGAAATATCTGATCATTTACCAATATTTGGAGTTTTTGATTTTAAAGGTATTCATGAAGAACAACCAGCGGTATTCAAACATCAAATTAATGATATGAATGTCAACTGTTTTCTTAGAGATCTCTCTACAACTGATTTTACCTGTTTGCTTTCTGTTTATCATGAGGAGCCAAACCTGATGTATGAGAAATTTATGGAGGTTTTTTCTGAGATCTATCGTACTTGTTTTCCACTCAAAAAAATAATTTATAAGAAAAATCATAAACCATGGTTTACTAAAGAACTGAAAAGGATGTGTTCAAGAAAAAATTACCTTTACAAAAAGTACATTAAAAATCCTACTGAACTCCGAAAAGATTGCTACAACAAATTCCGTAATCTTTACACAAACCAAATTCGTAGTGCCAAAAGAAATTATTACTTTTCAAAGTTTCGTACATTTAAAGGAAACATTAATAAAACCTGGAGAACTATTAATGATATTCTCCAGAGAAAGAAATATCAGAAAAATTCCTCTGTGTTTAAGTGTAACAATTCAGTAGTAAGTGATTCTAAAGAAATTGCTGAGAGCTTTAATGATTATTTTAAAGATGTTGGTCATAAATTAGCTAATATGAACAGGAACGTAACGAATATTAACTGTACCTCTTATTTAAATAGCAATTTTCCTCATACTGCATATTTCTTACCCATCACTGAAAAAGAAATAATTAATAATGCTCTATCTTTCAAAAATGGTAAAGCTCCTGGTTTTGACTCCATTGATTGTTCTGTAGTGAAAAAGGTTATTCATGTCATATGTAAACCGTTGTGCAATATTTTTAACTCATGTATTGAGCAAGGTGTTGTACCTGTTGACCTGAAAATTGCCAAAATTATTCCCATTCATAAAAAGGGACCTAAAGATATATTCTCAAATTACAGACCCATTTCATTACTTCCACTCTTCTCTAAAATCTTTGAAAAATGCATCTATACCAGACTACACGGTTTTCTTGATAAACATAGTATACTTTATAATAAGCAGTTTGGATTTAGGGCCAGGTATTCAACTGATCATGCTCTTTTAGATTTTTTAATACAAGTATCAAAGGCAATTGAAAACAAAGAAATCATTGTTGGTATATTTTTGGATTTTAAAAAAGCGTTTGATTCAATTAACCATGATATCCTCCTTTCAAAACTTTATTATTATGGAATTCGTGGTGTTACTCTTCAATTATTTCGCAGTTATCTAAATGATCGCAAACAATTCACTGTTTTCAATTCTAAAAATTCAAGTTTACAATTAGTTTCCTGTGGTATTCCGCAGGGGTCAATTATAGGCCCACTGCTCTTCTTAATTTATATAAATGATTTACATTCAGTCTCTCCCATTTTGAATTTTATACTGTTCGCGGATGATACAAATATATTTTATAAGCATAAAGATGTTGAATGCCTGACCAAAAATCTAAACACTGAGCTCTTAAAGGTTAGTGAGTGGATTAAAGCAAATAAACTGCAACTTAACTATGAAAAAACCAATGTTATGTTATTTAACTTTCCAAAGACGTGTGTTAGTGAAGTAAAAATATATATGAATGGAAATCTGATTGAACATACCAATTCAACCAAGTTCTTAGGCATTAATATTGATAAAGATCTTAAATGGAAAACACACGTCTATGAAGTTCTACGTAAAGTGTCTAGAACAATAGGAATTATGAGTAAACTTAAAGACATCTTGCCAACCAAAATTCTCATAATGTTATACAACTCACTAATCTTGCCTTATATATCCTACTGTAACATTATATGGGGTTTTTGTAAACAGCATTTACTTAATCGTATTTTCCTCCTACAAAAAAGAGCAGTTCGTATAATTTGCCACAAGCCATTTTTAAGTCCAAGCAGACCTCTTTTCTTGAAACTGAATATTCTCCCAATATCATTATTACATGATTTTCAACTCTGTGTTTTTATGTATTCATATTATCATAACCTATTACCAGAAATCTTTTCTAATATATTTCAGAGCAATAACGATATTCATAGATATAATACCAGGACTTCAGCAGACACTCGTGTAATATATGGTCATTCTTCATTTTCAAATAGTATCTTTTTATGCCAAGGACCCACTATTTGGAACAAACTACCCCCTAAACTTAAACAGTGTGCATCTTTAAACAGTTTTAAGCATCATTTAAAACTTCACCTGATACAGCAAATTTGAATTTGACAAACGCAATTTTTATGTGTGTAATTACCATTGTAGTATTGTATTTTCTTTGTCCCCTTTTTGTTTAGTTTTTTTTTGTGTACATTTTTAGGATCATCTACTTATAAGTTTTTGTAACTTTTTTGATGATCCAACCACTTCGTAATTTCCTTTAGTGTATTTTCCATTTTAGTGGTTTTTCTATGTTTGCAAAAAAGTATTGTATTCTTTGCCTTTGTATGTTTTTATGAAAGTGGTAAATAAATTCAATTCAAAATTCAAGATAATGTTTAATATACATGTACGGTATACTGTACAATGAAGCTTGTGATCTTAGTATATTACTGTTATTCTCACAATGTACATAGTACATACAAAATTATACTTTCTCTCTTTCTTTTTCAAGGTAACAGCCCAGATAATGTTTGGGATAATATTTTGTACATAAATATCTCATACAATTTCCTTTTCATTCCTACCATGGAGTGCAGAACAAACAGAAATGGGGTTGTGTCGTTTATTCGTTTTCCTACTTGAATTTGACTTCTTACCTTTTTGTGTTGAGTGTGCACGTACTGTAGTCCATACCTTTCAACTACATGTAATAGTCCATCAAATTTGTGTTTCAGGATTTGATTTTTTAACCAAATTCTT